ATAAAATTTCTTTACATTAACTGACATTGAAAGAATGTTTTTGCCCTGTTCTGTAAAGTGTAATGTGTTTGTGTGTGTGTGTGTGTGTGTGTGTGTGTGTGTGTGTGTGTATATATATATATATTTATATGTGTATCTGTCAGATGATGTAGTAAATATATTTATCATGTTAATGTTAGTAAAGTAATTGATTTTCCATCAGTTCTTAGTTGAGGGCCTTTAACACCAGCATGACCAGCAGCCGTCCATTAGCATTGTGCACATAGCTCAGAGATTCTTTACATTCAGACATTCTCCTCATGTAAACACAGCAACACGCAGCACAGTGAGTGCTCACAATCCAGCCAGTGACACGAGAGGCTGGAATGAGGTGTGGCTTTCGACAGAAACATAGATTAGATGTTTAAACGCTGATGAGAAGCTACAGTAGATACACCTAGACAGCAGCCAGGTCACCTGTGTGCATCAAGGATACAGTGATGATGCTAAAGAAAAGCTTAAACGTGACCTATAGGGGTGTAACGATTCACAAAATCACTCCTGAATTGATTGAACATGATTCCATACAATCTATTCATACAGCAAAAATAAGCAGCAGCTGAAAATGTGTCCTATTATAATGTTAATGTTTCTGTTATCAGCTTATTAGAATATTCAGCATAATAAGAAAAGTACAACCAGATCTAATACTGTAGCCACAAGCTAATATCCCTGATAGCAAGATGGCAAAGCTGGTGGTCCACTAGTGTTTTGCTCAGTGTTTTCCAGGCAGCCCACCGGTGTTCAAGCAGAGTAACAGAGAACATTCCACTTATCACTCATTTTCCCCTCACAGTCCAATTCACTGATTTATCTTTTCCTCCTTTCTTTAGTTATACTCTGTAAATTAGCTTAGTAAATCATTTTAATCCAGTGTCAGCAACATTTTCAACAAAATCATTTTATATTGGGCCTTTTCTTTCTCTCATTTGTTTGTAATATTTGTCTTAGTTTATTTTCCAAAATAAAAGTTTGTGTGCATTTAAAATCTGTTTGAGACGGTTAAAACTAGTTAGAGCTTGTATGCAGGACAGTAGTCTGGGTGGTCCAAGGGGGACCAGCAGTGGCAGTCAGCGGGGTGCCGACCTTATCAAGCCAGCGGTATATAACTGCATGATATTATACAATGTGTTGTGATACAATACAGTACATGATAAATATAATATTATACAATACAATTCAATGTAATACGATACAACGACACACTGCAAGACATTTTGAGACAGCACATTACACTGTGATGCAATACGATACAATACTATGTGATACGCTGTGATGCAGTTTGCATTACAATTCTATATAATACATCTGTAGTAACCTGCCTTACAGAACTGTCCATACCTGTTAGTGTATGAGGGGAAAGGCAGCTGCTGTCAATGTTATCAGCACTGAGGCAGGACAGAGTTAAAAAGTCAGTGTCACAATTACAGAAATGAGCCAGAATCAAATCTTCACATACATTAACCTCAACATTCTTAGAGAACTTCAACCTGACTAAACGGCCGCGACCTCCGTGACACTTACTCGAGGAAACTCCCATCTGACAGTGTGTAAACTCGAATATAAGTTATCAGTTATACTTTGAACCAGTGATCCAATACAGGTCAATCCCATGAAGCTCTACTGCCCTTCCCTCTCATATGAAACACTGAACCCATTTATAGAGATACGTGTTACTGCTGGGCGAGGCGGAGATCAATAATGAAGGGAATGAACACAGTCGACAGAGTTTCACTCTCTGTGTGTAAAACAGGTGCTAATATATGAGACGGCACCAAATTCTGGGCTGGATTAAAAAGTACAAATACGATCTGATTCTGTAAAAACATCACAGAACTGCTAATAGCACAACACTGTGTAATGCAAATTAAAGTAGGTCATGTGATGACGGTGGTAGCCACATGTGGGCGAATGTTAACATCAGAACAATTAGCTGGCTGAGTAGCACCATTCATTCATTTCAAATAGTCAACACTCAAAAATGGTTCTAACGTTCTTTAGTAAGGGTGATGTTTACACACAGACCAGCTGTATGAGTCTTGTGCATTAATAGTTCTTTGCATGATTAAGTGGTTCTTCACTATGAGACAAAACCTGCTGTATACAATTTTATGAACCTTTGAAAATTGTTCTGTATAGCACCAAAAATGGTGCCTGAGCCACTAATGTTACAACTAAGGAACGTTTTTTTTTTTTAATGGGACTATACAGAACCCTTCTTGCTATACACATTTCTGTTACTTCTGTGATATTTGTTTTATATTTACATAAATGAAGATTCTGTGTAATTTATGTAGTTGATTGTGTATATTTCCTTGTACACTCTTAAAAAAGACAGTTCTTCTTTTAAGGTGGCCATGTAGAGGAACCCTCCTGAAACACTTTAATACCCATCATTCTTAAAAAAGATGGTTCTTCTTTTAAGGTGGCCATGTAGAAGAACCCTCCTGAAACACTTTAATACCCATCATTCTTAAAAAAGACAGTTCTTCAAGGGTTCTGTAGTAAAGACAATGGTCTATATAGAACCATGAACACTCAAAGAACCATTTGCCTAATTAAATAGTTCTATGCATGGTGAGAGCGTTCTTCAGATTGATGGAGAATGTGCTGAATATGGTTCTATATAGCACCAAAAAAGGTTCTGCTATTATAACAAGCTTGATATCGTAAGAATAGTAGAACGCTTTTTGGTGCCATAAAGAACCATTCACAAAAGGAGTCTTTGTGTGTTCATGGTTCTATATAGAACCATTGTCTTTACTACAGAACCCTTGAAAAACCATCTTTTTTAAGAATGATGGGTATTAAAGTGTTTCAGAGGGTACTTCTACATGGCCACCTTAAAAGAAGAATATTTTTAGTCATTTTTAAAGAAAAGAATAAAGTGGATCAGTTTCAGAATCAGTCGATACTCAAGATCGCAGTATATTTATCAGTAATGGAACAGAAACCAGGTATCGTTCCATCCCTGTAAATCAGACTAGCTATTCTGTCTATTAGCATTGCTGAATTCAACGCAACAGTTTATCAATATGCAAGTGCTGTCAACTCCAGCATGACCAGAGGTCTGACCGCCGGACTGTCCTATCCCAACACAAGGTAAGCAGTGTTCATCATTGACCCCGTATCAGCCGACTTTGGTCACTCAGCCGCTTAATGAGAGGCTGCGGATCAGGCGAGCTTTGATTACACTGAGAATCCTTATTGAGATCAGACAGAAAGAAATCTGACCTGAGGTCAGCCCCCAGAATCAGACATTCACAGTGCGGACTCTGAAGGACGCTAAGACTTTAGCACAATGGCTGGAAAGAGAATCTGTGTAGAAAAGGGGAGAGAGAGGAATGAGGACAGAGAGAGAGAGAGAGAGAGAGAGAGAGAGAGAGAGGAATGAGGACAGAGAGAGAGAGAGAGAGAGAGAGAGAGAGAGGAATGAGGACAGAGAGAGAGAGAGAGGGAGAGAGAGAGAGAGAGAGAGAGAGGAATGAGGACAGAGAGAGAGAGAGAGGGAGAGAGAGAGAGAGAGAGAGAGAGAGGAGGACAGAGAGACGAGGGCTGAAACAGGAGCTGCTGAATGAAAGGCTTCATTCTCAGCCAGTGCAGCACGAAGCATCGATCTAAAGCTGACTGCAAAGATCTTGGAACGTTAAATTCAATTAAAGTCAATTATTATGATTATATTCAATAAAATATGAGCAAAAGTAGACATCCAAAAATAGAGTTTCACTGTAAACAGCTCCTCCAGTCATGTTTTTAAAGAGTCATGATCCAGAATAAAACTAGGGATGGATGAATGTAATTGGCCAAGATCGGAACGGACAGGTGACGACTGTGTCCGATCTGTGCTGCAGGTTTTATCAAAGTGCTATTAAACACAAATATGAACAACTTTTCAGTGGGATTGTTTATTGTTTATTGTTTGTTTGTTAGTCAGAGTTTGGGGGATCACGCAAGACCATCATCAGTTACTGGCTGTTACTGATCACTCATAAAGCCAGTCGTCTCTTTTTCTGATGTAGCACTTTATTTATGTTATTCAAACAGGAAACTGATTTTTTGGTGCCAGTTTGTCTTTTAAAGAGCAGCAGTGTTGTTTATACTGCAGTGTGGCTTATAGACAGTCCTGGAAATGCATCAGCATGTGTGAGCTTTGGGTTAAAAAAGAAAAAAACCCAAAAACTTTAACTACATGAACCCAACAAGTCCAGGATGGAGCTGAAAAATAAAAATGCAGCTCACTGAAATCTGCTGCCAGAGGAGTTCCACCATGCGCACATCCCTCCTGGCAACAGAACAATCGTTTTATCAGGTTCAGCTTGTGGAAATGGAGCTTTCTGTGAGCTACCATGTTTCATATCACTGTGTAAAAGATGCTTCATGCTTCCTTTATTGTTGAATAATTCCAAGATCATTCCGAGCAGTTCGGATTATTGTTGTTTTAATCAGAGTAGTGATAATCGGTGTCACTTATATTCCTATTTATCTGTTTGCTTGTTCAAAATTTGTCACAACCCTGCTGAAAAAAACCCTTAGAAACCGTTGTGTTTCTGTTGGTTCCTGATAGGTTTGTAATGTGTTTTGGCTTTATTAATGAGTGGATATCACAGTGTTAAGGGTCCTAATGGTTTAACAGGTGACCAATGGCAGATTTGATGGTTTCCTGATGGGGTATGAAGGTGTTCTACATCATTTAGCCAATTCCCGTTAGCAAAACCAGTAGTTTTTAATCCTAATGGTTTCTAGCGTTTTTTTTTTTTTCGGCAGGGAAACTGAATAAAAATGTCCATCTTTGTCTGATCATGTTCATCACACTTCAAATAACAGCACTCTGGAATCACAATATTAACAGAGAAGAGCAGATAAAACAGAAGCCACTTTTTTTGCTCCAGCCTTGAAAGGTCAAAGAAACCAGCCTTTCAAAAATTCATGATCCCTAAATAAAATTTAAACTGCCAACTTACCGTCCAGCTGACGTGTGGCGTGGTGCAGGCGGCTGGTCAGAGAGAGCGCTGGTTCTTGTAGAGTGATCTTCTTCCTTCTCTCCAAACTCCCTGATGTAAACAATGATTCCGGCAGTAGTTGTGCTTCTCTCACTGTAAGTCCTGGTGGTGCTGTTGGCTACAGTCTCTGGATGGAGGCTGAGATCACCTGCTCTGTGTTGGTGCTGCGGATCTTCTGATCTTCTGGCTGCACTGCTGGTGACCGTAGCTTTGTTTGTATCCTGGCTGTCGTTAGTCTCAGGTGCAGGAATCTCCTCCTCCACTACGAGTGGTCTGTACAGACTAGCCCGGCCGTGTGGTGTCTCAGATGGGTCCTTTTCACCTGAGCTGAATTTCAGGTGTGTGTAGGTATCCTCTCTGGATGTTCTGCTGGTTTCTGTGAGCGTCACCTGCTCTTGTATACTGCTATCCTCTCTCTCAGCGTGGAGACTAGCCCCGCCCCAAGCCGCGTCCTCCCGCAGCATTATCGCACAGGCAGACAGTGTGGTCAGGGAGGGGCTGTACCCTGCCCCCAGGTGAGAGCGAGTTTCCAGGTTGCAGTCTGTGATTGACGCCTCCTCGTGCAGACTCCAGGGATGGGCCGCTGCGCATTCCTCAGGCACACGCTCTCGCTGAACTGGCGCGTCCGGTTTCATAATAGCCAGATCTGAAAGTTGCCGGGCTACTTCACCTGCCCCTACCTCTCTCTCTCTGCCTAACTGGTCCTGAGCTTCTGCGTATTGATGAGATTCTGTTCTCTGATCGATCATTCTTGTGTGAAAAGATCCCAGCGTCTCCTCAGCTTCCCATTTTACTTCTATTGCTTGGTTGTTTGGATGTTCCTCCACCTTCTCTTCCCCTGCTGAGCTCAGCTGAACCTCATGCTCATTTGAAACCAAGTTGTCAAAGCCACTTTCTAGTGCCCATCTCTTGCTACATGTCTGTAAATGACCGTTAACTGACTCAAAGTCATTTCCACGTGCCACAGGTTCATTACCATCGTGCTCTTGAAATAATATTTGCGGTTCTTCATGGCTTTCACCTGCTTCCAAATATATCTGAGCATCCATACGGTCTTCCTGGAGTTGAGTTACAGAAGTGCGAGTGTGATAAGAGATGTCTGGATAGATATTCAAGTGATCTGTGGTGGCAGAAACAGACTCAGAAACAGTGTTGAGTGAAACCTTGCTGACTTGTTCTTGTCGATCTCCTTCAACAAGGTCAGTTCCTGGCCTGGAATGGTCAGGCCTGTCCATGTGTGTGTACCTCATGGTGGATGGTGGATTTGATTGGTCATCATTAGGGTCAATCTCAATGGTGTTTGAGGAGCTTAACAAGGTGCAAGTTTCTAGGTCAGATGTGTGGATGCTCAGTGATGAGACTGACTCATCCTGGAGCTGGACGAGTTCAGAGCCATGACAAACTGGCTCAACGGCAGCAAGGATGGGCTGGACTGAGTCAGTGACATCAGCGCTGATCAAGGAAGTATCTATAGATACAGGAACTCCCTCCAAGTCATGATGATCAAGAGAGAAGCTGGAAAGTTCTGTGACCTCTGGAAGGACAGGACTGTGCAGAGGATTGAAGGTAGAACCAGTTTCATCTTTCAGGACTGAGTCACCAGAAACTTCACCTAAGGATGGTGAAACCCAGCCAGGACTGGGGTTAGGATCTGTGCTGTCCTGCTGGCTGCGAGGAGAACATTCAGTGGTAGGGATCATGTGATCAGGTGCAGCTGGAAGAGAGGTGGTATCGCCAATGTTGGGAACAGATCTGACATCTGTAAGTTCGGTTTTAGAGGAGGAGCCCATCTGAACAGCTGTAACATCCATGATCTGATGGGAGGGTTCTTCAGCAGGGCTGAGGGCTGAGCTGGAGAGAGAACTATGTGGAGAACCTGAAGTGGAGAAGGTTGTGGACATACTGTTCACCTGTGATGCAATCTCAGTTTTCTTAGCTGGGTTTACCAGCTTTTCCAACACATACCATTCATGCTTCTGTAGGTTGTGAGGAGTGTCAGAGTGATCCCACCTGTCAGCATCACTGCTAACATGGTGTCCCTTCATGAGTGAGATGCTGTTAGGAGATACAGTGTCAGTGGATGATTGAAAGATCAGAGCTGCACTGGTGGACTCATAATCTGAAACTTTGGTATTCAAACTAGCAGTTTTAGAGTCTTCTGAACTCCAAGCAGGGATTTTGCTGCTGGCAGCATCAGTTGTGGTGCTCCTTATGACAATATCTGTGGCAGCATTTGGAGTTCCAGGAGCAAAGTTGGTCATTTCTGTACTTATTTCAGGAACAATGGTGCTTGATGGCTCAGCAGAAGACTGACCACTAGCATCAAGGTCAGTATGTGCAAAAACAAACGCCTCAGGAACTAAACCAGGACTTTCTGGAGGAGTTTGATAACCATCGCTGTCAGAATCAATATACGAAATTAAGGTGCTATCAATGTTAACTGGCATAAAACCTTTGGCACCTTCCATAATTTCCTCAGGGTGGACATTCTGGCGGTGGGGTTGGTCAGTGGGGATAAGACTGGGTCTCAATTCAGGTTCCACTACCTCACACTGGACCTGCTGGCTGAATTCAACTTGGTCTACATGGTCTTCAGTTTGCTGCTCTCTGAGATGATCTCTACTTGCGAAACTCTGGGAGAGGGCTGCGTTCTTCTTCTTCCTCCTCCAGCCCAGAGAGAAGGAGGAGATGCGCTTGGGCTTGTGGAGGTCAGTCTCAGAGCTACTGAGCAGCCCCTTCTGGAGAGAAAGAGAGAAAAATAGACAATGTTGGTGAAAGAAAAGACAAACAAGGATGAAAATGAACCAACTGGGAAGATAAATAACCAAACTGACATGTTTCTCATACCAACACAGTCCATCATACAGTACAACTAGGATTCTTTTGACTTCTTGACCCAAAGACCCAAATAAGAGAATTGATAGCAAACTGGAACCCAATCAGGAAATTATTACTACACCGAGTTTAGGAAAAAACGAATTGTTCAAACTGCCAGCCCAAATCTGATTTCTGTCATATCCAGATTGTATCTAGATTGATTTTTGATAGTCTGGACAGCAAAAAAGAAAACACACAAAATCTGATTTTGCAAATTGGATCCAAACTATATTTGGAGGTGGTTTGAACTGCGACTCCAGTCTGATTTTTACAGGTGCATCTGGACGCTCTGGACGCTAAAATCGGATTTCAAAGTGTCTTTTTCGTCAATCACTTGACAAACAGTGACAATGTCGAATCCAGCGTGATGAAGTTCTGGGATTCAAGAAGAGCCCCAAAGACTCATGATGATGAAGAGAGTTCTGAGGAGTTTGGAGGGGAGATGATGCTCCTCCATCTCTCCTGCATCCGCGTTTGAAATCCGCGTCACCAGCATAGCTACGTAGTTACTGACACCTACATCGTTACCACGGCAACCCATGCAGCTAGACTGGTGATGTCTGGACACACAAATCTGACCTGATCACTTACAGATAACAGAGCGAACAGACGACTCAAAAGATCTGATTTGAGAAACAAATCTGATTCAACTGCAGTCTGAACACAGCCTTATTTAGATGAAACTTCTTTAGATGGAGAATGAGGGTCACCGTCTTTACTAAAGAACCCTTGGAGAACCAATTTTAAGAGTGTGCCTAAGCTGAAAGTTTGATGGAATGCTGGGCATTTTTGTAGTATTTAGAGTAGAGAAAGTCCTGAAACACTGACAACTCGCCCTGAAGAATCATATTCATTTAAACAGTGTGGTGCCTCGCAGACTTTCATGCTTCCTCCTTTCAGAAACTATGAGAAGCACGCAGAGCTTAGTGGATTCTTCAGAAGGGTGTTGCATTTCTTCATTACGGTGATAATAGAGGCTTGATCCACCCATCTTACTCTGAACTGATCCAACTAGACTCATCAAACACCGTCTGAGCAATAACGAGAGGTAAGAGGTTATAAATGAGTGAGTTTGGAGAGAGAGCTCTTATTCACAGCACTCAAACTGTACCAAAGCAGCTCCCGCAGGCCATAGAACAGCTCCCAGTCAGAGGCCAATATCACCCAAAAGGTTTTCTCAACGAGGCTGATCTGCAGAACTGAGATGGAAATAGAGTTTATGTAAATGAATTACATATTTAATATCCAAAACACAGCAACCTAAACAGGGAATTCCACCAATCTGTTCCAAAATTCCTCCATAATTCAGTGTGAATTAGAGATTCAGAGTGGTTTGGTGTGAAATGGTTTAGATGTCTTTACAGTGGTGGTGATAGGAACCAGGGGTCGCCATGACTACAACACAAATATAGACATTTTATTTACTATCCAGAACCACCAGTGAACCTACACGAGTCTTCTGAGTTTATATGGAATGTTGATGATGGAAAATAGTGGAAAATCCAACTCATCCCAAAGGTACTGGATGGAGCTCCATCACTCCAGAAGACACAGTTCCACTGCTCCACAGCCCAAAGCTGGGGGGCTTTATACCCCTCTAGCCCACGCTGGGTACTGGACATGGTGACCTCAGGATCATGTGCAGCTGATCCAGAGCTTCTCATTCTATTGGTCAGTGCTTTTCTATAGAGATTATATAAGCTAAAGTAGCTGAATTCACTCATTAGAAGTCTGGATGCTTTTGTACATACAGTGCACCATTAAAATGTGTCATTAATTTGAATGTCAAAAAATGGCAAAACACTTGTACGTAACATTTGAGATGTCTGCAGATCAACACACAGAGGCCAATATTACAGTAATGATTAATAATGTAACTCTGAGCACAATCAAAGCATTTCAAAGGAAACATTATTTTCGATTTTCAGTCTTTGCTCTTCAATCAGTAGCAAACACTCACTTTATGCTGCCTGACTGAGGCTGATAAGAACTTTTAATCCTCCAGAATGATAACAATGACTCACAGAACGGCATGAAGACACAAACAGAGCAGATGTCTATCTGGGTGGAGATCCCTCAAAGTCTTTCAAGCGATGTAATGCAAAATACGGAAGAACAACAGGCGAAGAAAGCAGTGAAAGAACTGTTGAAAGAAGTGAGCACCCTCAAAAAGCAGATACGTGCTGCAGCAGAACCGTACTGCTTCTGAAGCATCTTTAGATACAGGAACATGAGTAATAATTTAGTAAAAACACTAAATTATACACCCAAGCTTGACTTCTTAACAATACTGACGTGGTGGTGGTGTGTTAGTGTGTGTTGTGCTGGTCTGAGTGGATCAGACACAGCAGTGCTGCTGGAGTTTTTAAACACCTCAGTGTCACTGCTGGACTGAGAATAGTCCACCAACCAAAAATATCCAGCCAACAGCGTCCTGTGGGCAGCGTCCTGTGACCACTGATGAAGGACTAGAGGAGGACCAACACAAACTGTGCAGCAGCAGATGAGCTATCATCTCTGACTTTACATCTACAAGGTGGACTGACAAGGTAGGAGTGTCTAATAGAGTGGACAGTGAATGGACACAGGGTTTAAAGCTCCAGCAGCACTGCTGTGTCTGATCCACTCAGACCAGCACAACACACACTAACACACCACCACCACGTCAGTGTTACTGCAGTGCTGAGAATGATCCACCACCCAAATAGTACCTGCTCTGTGGGGGTCCATGGGGGTCCTGACCACTGAAGAACAGGGTAACAAAGTATGCAGAGAAACAGATGGACTACAGTCTGTAACTGTAGAACTACAGAGTGAAACTATACGGTCAGTGGAGCTGATAAGATGGACAGTGAGTGGAGATACAAGGAGGTGGACTTAATTAAGTGGCTAGTCAGTGTGAGTCACTCTTGAATGTCAGTCAAAATTTCTGTCGTGCAAGCAAAGAAGAATGAAGCGTGTGTCCCCATTGTTTCCTGCCTGTAGTTTCAGTCAGTACTTTCACAACAAACCTTCAGTTGTCAGCACCTGTAATTAGTGTACTCTGATGGGGGCGTGGCTACGGCCCACTCAACACGTCACATACACTCACAAACACACACAAACAACACTGCACAACTTACCTGGAACCTTTGCTCTCATTCTGCTGATGTTTGATAAAAAAATGTGGGGATTCTGTCTCATGACCCGCCCTGTTATTCCGAGGTTTCAGTAAAATCTTTTCAGTGAAAAGTGCTGTGTTTATATTTTTGTTAAGTATATGTCAAGTTTATTTCTAGAGTAACCAAAGCTGACCGAAGTGCTGTACAGCTAATAAAATTAAAAATAAAACCATCTATACACAAAACATCAACAAAAATTAACCACAGAAACAAACATACAAACAGTGCTGCACAGAAAATACGTTAAAACAAAAAGTTCAATGAAAGATAAAAAGGAGCTGAAATATTACATAAAAATAAAACTAAAATAAATGTAGAAGAATAACTGGGCACGTAAAAGGAGAGATGAGTCTTAAGGCAAGATTTAAACTCAATGGTTGACGCAGATCTCATATTAATAGTTAAATTACAAACATACAAATAACGTGATCATGCAGCTCTCAGGTAGGAGTGACGGCTATCTGAGTGACACAGTGGCGCCACCTTCCTTCCGTCCTTGTGAATTAGAGCTGGTCAATATGGCATATACATTCTACCACAATACTTCATGATACATGATGTGTCATAATATATATATATAAAAAAAAAATAAAAATACTGCTAAAAACTTGAATACAATAATTCAAATTCAATACTTCACACACTGCGCTGCACTAAATCCAATTGGACAGGACTATTAGGCTCTCTTTGAGATCAAATATGCAAATATGAGTACTGATGATGTCCACCATAGACTCAGAAAAGCATATTGTGATGTCATTTATAACGATAAATATTGTCATATTGCCCAGCCCTGATGAGAATTATCCTGATGAACTGATTTACACAGCCATACAGACTTTACAGCACATTCTCCATCGATCTGAAGAACCATTTCACCATGCAGAGAACCATTTAATCATGCAAAGGGATCTTTGAGTGTTCATGGTTCTATATAGAACCGTTGTCTTTACTGAAGAACCCTTGAAGAACCATCTTTTTTAAGAGTGCAGTGATTAGTGGACATGAAGTTGAGAATTAAGCATGTAAATGTTGTTTTGAATACAGCAGAGTTCTCTGGGTTCTAGACGTCAGTTCCGGAGCTGTGTTATAGTTCATGACTATGCAAAACGTGGCTTGAAAGCTTGGTATAGTCTGAACTGACCATCTCATGAACAGCCTGAGCTGAAGCTGAACTTCACTGCTGCACTGACACCATCGCTGTACCATTGGCGTCATCTACAGGCCTGGAGGAGAACTACACTCTAATAAAAACTCCTTATAATCTCAGGATTATTACATTCTAAGCCTTATTATTCAGTAACTTCAGGGACTTCAGTGCAAACTGGCTGAGCCGTTCTTAGACTATAGAAGTGTGTAATAAAACTTTGGGCCCACCGGTGGACCCTGACCATTTAAGAGGTTAAATATGACGCCTTTCTGTACTTTTTAATGCACAAGAGTTTAACACTGAAAAACTGAATAAAAAGTGTGCTGGGTTTTTTGCACGAGCCAAAATTGATGTTTCATTTTTCCCAGCATGTTAAATTCAGTAAATAAACAGTAATTGTGCTTTAAATTGTGCAGTAGTGTGTCTCTGTAGAGGAAGTAGAGGATGTGTAATTTACACTCAGAAAATAAACAACAACATGGCGCACAAACTTTTGCATATGACTGTATTAAACCTTTTTCACCCAACGTTTGAAAGCCAAGGAAGAAAGAAACCCGAATGTGCAAAAATGAACCCTCACTGCTTATGAAGCATGGTTGTCTTTTCACCTTTCAGTATTGTTCTCTCAGTTCTGATTGGCCATTAAAGTTCAACACTGTATCTGCAGGCCAGCTGAACGAGGACAGTGAGTCGCTGAGGCTCACAGGAACGGCACAGTCAGCATTCAGACGACAGAAACTCTTCATGGCAAATTATCTATCTATTTTTATTATTCCTTTATTGATATCTGGAGTTTATCTATTTAAAACAGTAGTTCACTGCAGCAGCAATGAGCTCTGCCTGCTGAAGGCTGCGGGGCCACAACATGCAGAGCTTAGGAATGCATTTATTTCAATGCAAACATTTGAATTTTCCAGCTTCCCCTGCTGTAATAAGCTGTGGTAGTGGGTAGTGCAGACAGGGCAGGTCTGCACAAGCAACCCTTCACTCGTCTGAACAGCGTTCACCCTCTGGCGATTCCTAAAGCCGGGATTACACAACACGACTTTGGTCCTGATTCTCAGTGTGGCTGAGTCAGTGCTGGTCAGCTCTGGTCTGCAGATTAAGGGTCAGTGGGAGTCGACCGCAGGGAGAGTGAAGTGACTAGAGTGTGAGCAGCACAGACTCAGGTCAAACAGGTGGTTTTAAAACATTTTAATGAACCAGGTTTAAGGCACAATCCAGTGCATGTTAAGGGTGGGTGATGTGGCACAAATGTAATATCATGATACTTCAAGACGTTTTCATGATACATGATAAGATCTTTAAGAACAACATTCCGCAGAGATCAACTGAGGATTTCAGGTATTTCGCTCTCTGCAGTGCATAATATCATCAACAGATTCAGGGAATCCAAAGAAATCGCTGTGCTTAAAGCAAAAGGACAAAAACCACAACTCAATGACCTTCAACTCCTCAGAGGGCACTACATTAATAACTGGCATGTTTCTGTAATTGATATCACCCTATGGACTCGGGGGAAAACACCGTCCATCACTGCATCCACAAATGCAGGTTAAGACTATACTCTGCACAGTGGTCACATATCAACAACGTCCAGAAACGCTGCTGACTTCTCTGGGCTCGAGCTCATCTGTAATGAACTGATGAAATGTATATTGTGGTTTGATGAGTCAACCTTTCAGACTGTTTTTGGAAATAATGGATGTCATGTACAGTAGCAATCCCCAAAAAGCAGGGTGTTTATTAGGCTCTGCTTGTATGAGAACCCTGAGATAAATCATCTTTCAACATTTTTACTGGCCTCATGGACAATACAGACCAACAGAACCACATCACAGCCTTTAGAATCACTTGGACTGCCTTGTTCAGGTGTTATCAGCTATAAAGAGGTGTGAGAGCGCAACCACCCACGTACCTTTGACCTTGGGGCAGTGGCGTAAATTGATGGCTTCTGGTCAGCATCAGGCCAGTCCTCTTCATCAGCCTCAGGAGAGTCCACTCTGAAGGAGACAACAGTGTCTTAATCATATACAATCACCCTTAATGCCATAAACTTAATATTTACAGAAGAAATGATCTCATATTAAGATAATAAATCTTTTTTTTCTCTTTGACAAGACAACATATCGTACTCTGTGAGTGTTAAATTGTTTTATCTTAAGAAAAATTATCATTCTTTTGTCATTTATCGCCCAAACAAGCACAAAGAGTGACTCACCAGGTTCTTATGATTATCAGATCAACAGATATTATATTAAATCAGGACTTTTTACTTGTTTGAAGAAGTATCCTGACAGTATGTTCTGGAACTCTGAACGTCTCTGCAGTGCTGAATTTAAGTCGCTTATTCACTTTTTTATCAGAATCAGCACTTCTTGTTATCACTCTGGTTGTGAAGTATTCAGGTGAGATGTGAAGTTGATAAAAGACAAAAATTCATATTTTGTTGTTCGGTGAGCAGACTCAGCTCGTGATGGCAAATTTAGCAATACAGTCTTGAATGTAAAAGATTTATAATTGAGTGCCTTTATTTTATGATTGTGCATGGAAACTGAATATATGCTGCTTATATTACATTTCAGGTTTCGTTCAATTTAAGCATTTATATCTGTTTTCTAATTTTCCTTTTAGTTTTTGCAGTGCATGAATAGGAGAGATGAAATGGGTTCAAAATGACAACATATTACAGATAACATGCTATATTACTTCACAACACTCTTTTCTGAGTATATGAATGTATGACCAGCACTTCTAGAACAATGAACAACTGCATGGATCATAAAGACAAAGCCTATAAACAACAACAACAACAACCAGTGTAAACGACAGTGTAAACACTAAACTGAACAGTCACAAAGTAGCTGAGTGAATAGCAGCCCATTATGACACAATCTTATTTCATTCATTTATTTTTACTGTTTGATCTTTAATTCTAGTTTATTTTTAAGATAAGATCATTCTTTATTAGGGAAATTCACAGAGCTACAGCAGCAAAGGGAGAGCAAAGCACTCAAGAAAGGAAGTAACAAGAAGAGAATAACAGTATTAACCATATTAATTCATTCTCAGCACTGCAGTAACACTGACGTGGTGGTGGTGTGTTAGTGTGTGTTGTGCTGGTACGAGTGGATCAGACACAGCAGTGCTGCTGGAGTTTTTAAACACCTCAGTGTCACTGCTGGACTGAGAATAGTCCACCAACCAAAAATATCCAGCCAACAGCGTCCTGTGGGCAGCGTCCTGTGACCACTGATGAAGGACTAGAGGATGACCAACACAAACTGTGCAGCAGCAGATGAGCTATTGTCTCTGACTCTACAAGGTGGACTGACAAGGTAGGAGTGTCTAATAGAGTGGACAGTGAGTGGACACAGTGTTTAAAAACTCCAGCAGCACTGCTGTGTCTGATCCACTCAGACCAGCACAACACACACTAACACACCACCCCCACGTCAGTTACAGTCTGTAACTGTAGAACTACAAAGTGCACCTATATAGTAAGTGGAGCTGATAAAATGGACACTGAGTGGAGAAACAAGGAGGTGGTCAGAATGTTATGCCTGATTGGTGTATAATCCTAAAGATAAAAATATAAACTCTATCCTTCACAAAATGAACTGTATAAATGTTATAAATAAAAATGCAAACAAACGTACACTATAAGGATATTTAACACAATGCTAGCGTTATTCTTTTTAACATCATTGCATTATTTTCTTCCAGGTGCATTTTGTCTCTGAAAGTCTTAAAAACAAAATATTCGGATGTAAATCACGTTTTGCATATCATGTATGGTGATGATATTTTTGTCACCCGTTAGATGAAGTAAGAGGGACTGCTGTAAGTAGTCGAGCTCAGCTGAGCGTGATGTGACGGTGCAAACTGTTGAGTCTTTTTTTTAAATGAGTGGAATGTGGACTTTTTTTAGACATGCACAGGCAGGAAGACCACAAATCACCCAGAGGGGGCGTGACCACAGGCTAGACTATTATCCTTCAAAGATCTGAAAATCCCTTTAGTGTGTCCAGTTCATTAAGAACCTCAAGAGGTTTAAGGCACACATGTACTCAAGCTCTGCCCCTCCTGTTCCAAAAACACTGTTCCCCATCCTGGACCTGGACTCCTCCGTCACCAGCGGCACTAAATAAGCAGGTGACAGGTGACGCTCCACGACATGCTGCAGCAATGTGGACGGGTCTGCTCTTCCTCACCGTCACCGCAGAGACACAAAGCTCTGCTTTGTGTGGCCACAACATAGTTCCATAGTTTCACGGTGGCTTTTTGAAGCACTGTCATAATTCATAATCTGGACCAGCCTGTATTTAGCAGGCAGCGCTAAAGGCAACACACAGAGACTCATCTTCATTGTGTCGTTGAACTTTTGGACTCTTTTTATTGGGAATGCGCTGATCCTGTTCATTCACTCATACACGACTCGAAAATACACCAATACCAACATCCGATGTGTAAGCTGAGCCAAGCCGAGTGGACACTGCCCCTCTAATGAATAATAATTCATAAAATAGAAATAATATTAAGGCTTTCATATCAGTAATTCATAACCTGTGGTAGTCAGAGTTCAGCAGGCTAAAACAGACTTTTTCATCTTCACTACTAATGCAGTCTGAGCTCAGCACGGAGGAAATTGATAGATTTGCATATGCAAATGAATTAAGATTGTGATCGGCATGTTAGCAGTAAGAGCTTCTACACCTGAAGGACCAACGCATGTCTGAAATTACCGTTTTGGTAACGTTGCTGCATCAAGTCACAACCTAAAGGTGTTAGATCAGTGAAAATATTATATCACACAATGCAATAATAACCTTCAAAGGCAGGTGTTCAGAGCTTCAGGAGGCTACAAAAAATCATTAAAACTACTCAGTCTTTACTGTGAAATAGTCAGAGATAGAATAGAGGCCACCCTTCACCTTTTACACTTCCAGTCAAAATGGCCATTAGGTATAAGTTCTTTGTTTTTTATTTTTCAGGAGATATGTTTGAGGATACTGGATATAAGATGTAATATCACCCTTAATTTATTAATTTCCAGCCAAAATAATATATTTTAAGTTAATATAAGATAATCCACTCCATAAGTAAGGAGAAAGTCAAAGAAAAATAAATAAAGGTTTCCAAAACTGAAGTTCAAAAACTGATTAAAGACGACAGAGAAAATGTGGCTCCTAACAACCACCTGGAAGAGCTGGTCGACCCCAGAACTGCCCCCATCAGATAAACAGCACTTAAAGCTTTCATCTCTGAGAGAGAGGAGAAAATCAAGCTGATCAGATCTGAAAACATCCACAGGTGTTTCTGTCCATCCTTCCACTGTGAGAAGACGACTCAGCGCTGTGGGTCTGAAAGGATGTGTAGCTGATCAAGAAGAACCTCACTGAGAAAAGGAGACGGACACATCAAACAAAGAAGCTGAACGATGGACTGACCACCCCAGAGTCCAGACCTCAACACCACTGAATGTGTTTGATTACTTCAGAAAATCATCAACCAGCTTCTAAGACTGAACTTTGGAGGTGTGTCTGCAGATTCTTTGAGGAACTGAAAGTGAGGCTCCTGAAGAGAGTGGAGGCTGGAATAAAGGTAGAGAGAGACTCACTGACTCTCACAGCTGAGAGTAGATCTAGCTGTTGAAGCTTCTACGTAATTCTATGTAAATGTCTTTTGGCTGAAAATGAAAGAAATGACACACAGTCTTGGGCTTTTGCACATCACCGTACGTTGCCAGTTTGTTAGGTACACCTGTTTAGTATCAGGCTGTGCCTGTTTGGCCATCAAAGCAGCAGAGATTCTCCTGAACATGTACCAAAACAAGACTGTGGGTGTGTTTGGAGGAACGCTGAACCGCACTGAAACAACCATGTTTCAATATTGCAAAAAGTCAGTTTCCATTTCATCTCGGCGACTGTGCAGCACCAGCATGCTGAATAACTGATACTAATGATCACTGTAAAATAAACTAGATAAAAAGATTATATAATCATAATAATAATAATTACAATTGTGAATATTGTAAATAAGTGCACTTATTATTATTAGTATTATACACTGAAACCACTCCATGCTTACTATTCTCGATGAGCTTCTACTTCAGACATTACAGTGCAGTATTTTGAGTCTCGGCTGTACCGCATTATTTTCTGTACTGTTGTGGATAAACATTTATTATTAAGCTATACGTGACTGACAGGCCTGCAGATCAAATGACAGACTGTGCGCTCTCTGTAGAAGAGGACAGGGCTGTACGGTGATCTAAAACGGCTCACATGCGCCTTATTATTGAACTGAACTCAGCCTGAAATGAATGGACGTGAAAGGGGAGCTTCCCTCAGACGGCCTTCTCAGGCCTGAGCAGCTCTTTTCCGCTGGTACGTGTTTGAAAGCGAAAGCTGGGGGGTTCAGTGCCCCACCCGGGCAAAAACACCAGGTTATGCCGATAATTGTCCTTGGGCAAAGACTCCAAATGCTACTTTCGCCTGCTTCTGTAACAGGATCAGAACTGTAGATTGCTCTGGATGAGAGGTCTGCACCACCACAATATCTTGCAAGGCGGAACTAATTTTCAGTGCTTTGTGCAGGAGAGGGCAGGAAACCAGCCCACTGCAGGCGGGAGCAGGAGAAAACACACATAGAGAGAAATCCTGCATATTAATTAACAGCCTAAATAAAACAGAATAGTCACTAAATCATATGTGAAGAATATAAAATGATGACAGTAAAACAGTTAAAAAGAATGAAGTTTAAAGAGTTGCAAAGCAACTGATGACGTGAACAACATGCAGATTCTCGTAGCTCACAGAAATGGTGGAGCCTTCAGTCTGACAGCCACAGCTGCCCAGCAGAACACCAAAAATAACCGCTCTGTGGTTTAATTCCTGCTCTGTGTTTACTGGGAATAAACGCCGTTTGATGAGGTTACTCACAGTGAGCCTGATGAGCACGACTTCGTGATATTTCAGCAGAGAATAATGTGTTTGAATAGACTGTGTCAGATATTGGAGTCAGTTCGCTTTGACGGAATTGAGCAGATGGGAGCGGACATAATGTTTTGGTTGTAGGTGGGAGCGGGAGAAATGATTCCGATTTTCTGCGGGACTGAGATGAAATCCCGTGGAAGCGGGCTGAATGCCGTAAACGTAACACAAATATAAAGACAACTGAGGAAGTTTAGATTAGCAGTACTGCGTAGTACAACATCATCTTATCTTTTAGTGCTGAATGTTGGTGAGATATTATTTACAGCAGTTGAGCAAAGATGAAAAAGATTAAAGTCTGGAATTCACATCTCAGGAACCAGCAGCTGATCATATGATAGAAACCGGTCTGTGAATCAGTAGCTCCTCTTCGCTTGTGGGCTGTTTGCAAAACAGGTCGCACATCAGCTGAAAGGTATGCGGTAACTTTCCCCCTTCAAGAGGGCAACACACGAGCCGAGATCTGGCCTGCGGGAACGGCTTCGGGTTTAGGGTTTCTTAGTGAGTTGATGACGGAGCTCATAAGCATGTGGAGCGGCAGGTTTCTGGAGTTTTCACACTAAAGCACAGCCGCATCCTACAGCACAGAGTACACTTCTGTGCAAATACACTCACGAAATAAAGGTACTAAACTGTCTCTGGGTCAGCCCCCCTCCCGACTCCACACACCCCGTCTCGTCTCCAGGCTTTTATTTTACTGTTCTGTTTTAAAACATTCGGTTATGAAAAGGTACAAATACGAACTTTTCACCTGGAGAAACTTATTTAAGGTTCACAATCAGACCTTAAACCACTGTTGGAGCTTTGAGGAACATTTACACTGTTTGTACCTTGATGGATGAGAAACGTACAGAACAGAACCTTTATTTCTGACAGCGTGTGAAAAGCTAACGACAACAATCTAAGGATTTTAACGGTAATGAAAATAAGGTCAGCACAGATGTGTTCCAGCAGATCAACAGAGAAAACATCAGCCACGTGTAACTATTTCACAGTTTCTACGAGGAACATAATACAGGTATATAATCTCTGTTCATGTGGAGCATCAAGACACCCACAATCTTCTCCACTGCAGGTCTTGTATCACCTGAAAACACGACTCGATATGCTGAATACAGCAAAGAAAAGATGACAAGAAATGAACAGACGAAGGTTAAATTAAAACTAAAAATAATGGAGTTTATCTCCCTGAATGACAAATCATTTTATTTTATTTTTAAAGTTTATTTTATGCAAAAGCTTCGAAAATGTAAAAATAAATTACAGCTGTTTTTGGTACATAAAATGACACAAAGATTGTAAAAGGACCTAAAATATTAAATGTGAAAATATAGGATATCGTTCTGATTTTGAGTCTGACTAGCCATGACGCGATCACTCAGCATGAGGAGAATTTCTGCCATTTCAAATCTGATCACTCGTTCCCCAAAATCCTCACTGTGTATCAACTTTCCTGAAGCGTAAAGAGGTGCATATAGTCACACGTGCTCTGCAGCGTGACGGCCTGTCTTAAACAGCCCTGAGCAGAGGCGACTCTGAGAGTGACAAACTCAACAAAGGACTATTCAGTACCTATATATTACAGACTTACACTGCACAGCTTTCCCATCAGGAGCTGAGACCTGCTACACTAACACAGCCGTCAGCAGCACCTCACGCTGTTAGTTTACACAGGGGGAGGCGTGTTATGGCCCTTTTGGCCTGTTTCCTTTGTGTGACCTCACCCCGAGCACACACTGTTTGCCTTCACAACAGCACAGCTAACAATGTTTACACAGGGCATCACGCTGCACTGAGCAAACTCAAACACAGCTGTCAATCTGCGGACTGTCGAGAGGAGTGATGTCCTGTCAGGTATCACTCTGAGATGTGGACTCAACATACATCTGATCTGAGTCTCGGGTCTCTGAGGTGTGAGTCTGAGTCGAGTCTCTGAGATGTGTGTCCAAGTCCCGAGTCTCAAGGAGTGAGTCTGTGTCAAGCCTCTGAGGTTTGAGTTCAAATCTTGAGGCTCAAATCTCGAGTCTCAGGGGTGCAAGTTTGAGTCAAGTCTCTAAGGTGCAGGTCTGCGCCAAGACACGAGTCTCTGGGATGCGAGTCTGAATATCAAGTCTATGGGATATAAGTGAGAGTCGTCTCTAAGGCATGAGCCTGAGTCTCTATGGGCGCGAGTCTGAGTCGAGTCTCTGAGGTGCGAGTCTCAATCTCAAATGTATGGGATGTGAGTCCAAGTCGAGTTTCTGAGGTGTGAGTTCAAGTCTCGAAGCTCTGAGTCTCTGAGGTCTCTTAGATTTGAGTCAAGTCTCTGTCCAAGTGTCAAGTGTCAAGGCTCTGCAAGGCTAAACTGCACATAATTATGATTAGCATAAAACATAAGCAGGCCTTCTTAACGTCAGTCAGCCAGTGCAGGAGGCAGATATTACGGTTCATCTTGAACTCCAGATGGACCTTTAAGCTCTTAGTAGCCATTTGCATGTGTCTCTCACCATAAACTGATCCTAGTTGTAAACCTTCATGTCAGCCAGGTCCTGATATGCTGCAGGAAAGCTGCTGTACATGCATTTAACTCACTATGCAAATAAAACCGAACTGAATTTAACTGAATTTGCATGACAGAGTCGTTGCTCCGCATAACATATGGCCTCCATTAAACACATGGACGATTTCCAAGAGCCGTCCAATATTTGACCTGGCAGGAGAAAGTCCCACCAGGATACTTCAGTCAGGAACTGCAACCAGCACGTCTTTCACATCGTGTTTAATACATTCCCAGCAAAAAGGGCTCTAGGTAGCACCTACAAAAGTTCTATAACTTGTAACAGTCCTTTATTTGGTGCTATATAGAACCAGCTCCCCTTGAAGAACCATTGTTTTGACATTTTTTCAACATGCTGACATGCGCTGTAGCTTAAATACACACTTTTAAAAAAGATGGCTGTTCATCAGATCTTTAGTAAAGGCAATCTTTCTATAGGAAGAAGAACACTCAAAGAACCATGATTGCATGATTAAAAGGTTCTATGCATGGTGAAAGGGTTCTCCAGACTGATGGAGAATGTGTTGTATATGGTTCAATTTAGCACCAAAAACGTTCTTCTACAGTTACGATGTCAAGATTGTAACAAAAATAGAACCCTTTTTGGTGCTCCATAGACTTTTTCAAAAAGGTTCTATATTAGAACCATCTACAGCACATTTTCCCTCAATCTGAAGAACGATTTCACCATGCAAGGAACCATTTAATCATGCAAAGGGTTCTTTGAGTGTTCATGCTTCTATACAGAACCATTTTCTTTACTTGAAGAACCTTTGGAGAACCATGTTTCTAAAGTGTGTATATAGAATGTGTATATCATCTGTATTCAGATGAGCAGAGCCTGACGCAGGTGAAGTAGAGCAGAGCGGCACAAACTACCATGAGGTACAACGTAACATTGATATTCAGTGAAGTTAAAAAGGTTCCAGTAGAACGTGCTTTTAGTCTGGTTCTCGTGTTCCTATAGCAGCGTCATCTGTGAATTCTGACAGCAGTCAGTCAGACGTTCCTCCAGATTCTCCCCGAAGTCTGTTTTACTCCAGTAAACTATCTTCCTCCATCCTGAGTGTTTGTGATCAGTGATCTGTACAGAATTCAGTCCTGTATTAGTTTAATCTCCTCTTGGTCTTTGTAATACAGCAGCGTTTAGACGCAGATAGACAGCTCACAGTGAGAGACAGACAGGCTAAAGTAGCCTCCACACAGGGGGGTTAGTCTAACACACTGACCCCTACATTGAACTACACAGAATACGACATTGAATAGCCCCCATATATGTCCAACATTGGTCACTTTTTGGGTGTTTATTAGGAGATTCATCAAAACATGCTATAGAAGTCATATAAATAAAATATACTTCACTATTTATTGATGTCATATTTATTTTTAAGAACATGTTTACGTATTTAGGTTGGAGAGTTGATCTGCTTTAAACACAGAGTCGTACTGCATTAAGTGTGTATTGCATCAATTTACCGGATGTTTATATCAAATGTTAAACTGGCCCCTCAGTCTGTTATAACTCTGTGTAAGGGGCTAGTCTGACCATTCGCACTCACTTCTTTTACAGCGGAACTGTTCATAAACTGTAGTAGTAAGTTGGGGCTTCATTATTGTGGCCTCAATATAGTAAACTGTGGCCTAATTACAGTAACTTGTGGGCTCAATATAGTAAATTGTGAGCTAATAATAGTATTTTGTAGCCCCAATATAGTAAATTGTGGCCTAATTATAGTAATTTATGGCTGAAATATAATATCACGACACATAAACACATTTCCATGATAAATGATACGCAGCTGGATGTTTAATCTTTCTGAGGTTTGATGGAGTGGAACAGATAAAAACAGACCAGAGGGGCCACATTTAAAACAGTTTTATCAAAAACTATTAGAACATTAACTTTTATTTTACGTTTCACTCACTGCGCTGAATTCAGGACTAATTATGAACCGAAACAGGACTAATTATGAACCGAAACAGGACTAATTATGATCTATTAGTAATAAAACGCAGATCAGCTCTTTAAGTGCTGATTATCTCCACCATGCGCTCTGCAAAGCGCACTGTGGCGCCCAGTATCACGATAACGATCAAATATCGTCATACTGCCCACCCCTCGCCTTGTTAATCAGCACGTGACTTTAGGGGCTCCGTATGTTACCTGGTGGTGTCTGAGGCCTGTTTGTCTCCTGCTGTCTTCCTCTTCCTCCTCCAGGTGAACAGTCTGAGGGTTCTGGAGCGGCTCTGTTCATCCCTCTCTGCGGACTCCTTCAGGTTCACCTCGCTTTTGGAGAACAAGCTCTTCAGGGACCTCCTGGTGGAGCTGGAGGAGCTGCTTTTGGCCATGTCGATTAAAAAAGTACCTTTTTCCCCCCAAAACTGTGGTGAATAAACACGGACGGTCTGAGGACTCAGTGATGTCGATGCTCTGCTAAAGCTCAGCCACACACCTCACTGTACCGCCACTTTCTCCGAGGTTCACAATGTGTTCACACCTCTATTCAGACTAGCCCCGCCTCCCTGTGCTGGGAGTGGTCATGTTGTGTTCCTCCACCCACTCTACGATTGGCTGGCAGCTCTAACAGAGGCGGCAAGCGCACAAGAGGCGGGTTATGAGGTGCGCAATACGGGTGGGAAACAAAAACGAGCCACAGGTAAACGACCAGACACCCCCACGCCACGAGGCTTAAACCAATATAAAGCTGAGAAGCCCTTTTTCCAAAATTCTACATAATTAAAGGTTTTGAGATGTAAACAAAGTTGTTTAGAGAGGTTTGGTGTGAAATGCCCCATTATACACACTTAAAAAGATGGTTCTTTAAGGGTTCTTTAATAATTGGTTCTATACTGAGCCATGAACACTCAAAGAATGCTTTGCATGATTTAAGGGTTCTTTGCATGGTAAAATTGTTCTTCAGATTAATGGAGAGTGTGTTGTATTTGTTTCTATGTAGCACCAAAAAGGGTTTTTCTGCTGTTCCAAGACTGACATCGTAATGATAGTAGAACCCTTTTTAGTGCTTCATAAAACCAAATACAACACATTCCCCATGCATCTGAAAAACCACTCCACCGTGCAGAGAACTGTTTAAGCATGCAAAAGGTTCTTTAAGTGTTCATGTTTCTGTATAGAACCATTGTCTTTACTAAAGAACCTTAAGAAACCATCTTTTTAAGAGTCAGAACTGTTCACAGTGGTGGTGATAGGAACCAGATGTCCACCTCTAAAAGCTCCCTCA